CTAAGAACATAGTTGTGTAGATAAATGAACTGCTCAGTGCGAGTGCCTCTGTTACCATACATACTATTTGTTAAGAAAAAAAGATAAAGGGGGCCGAAGCAATAGTACAGTGGGTAGGGTGTTTGCCTTGTATGCGGCTGACCTGGATTTGATCCCTGGCATTCCATATGGTCCCTCGAGGACTGCCAGGAATAATTCCTGAATGCAGAGCCAGGATCATCTCTCATGTGACCAAAAAGCCAAAATAAATAAATTAAGGGTTTTCAAGTAGCTATTGTGCTAGGAATTCACTTAAAGTTAAATTTAATGAACTTCATAGGGGCATCCATATTCTAAATTTGTAAGAAACTTTCATAAAAGTTCAAGATTGAAATTATTTAATACAAACAAACAGTATTTAGACTGTGAGCAACTATCATCCAAAACACAGTCCACAATACAGCTTTCTTATTGGAATAACACAGAGAATCAGATCAAGTTTTTTTTTTGCCATTTTCTTTTTGTCTTGACAACATTTCCCACAGAACTGTACCTGATTATAGGTTTTTAGGGTTGGAAGGAACCTAACAGATACACCAACCTAACAGATACACCATAACTCCTTCCTGTACTTCTAGAGAGAAACAGTTTATCCAGAGTCATGTAGCTAATGATGGTCAGGGAGATATAAGTCCTTTCTCCGTTATGCTGGAGCGTTACATTCCTCTGGAAAAAAGTGCCTACTCACTTCTGGGTTTTAATGCTACACTTTGGGGTATGGTTTTTTCCATGACTAAACTAGTGCTCTTTTGTTTTCTTGTGTGGGTGTCTGTAAGCAAAGCTTGAAGGGTGATAGGCTTTCATTGTTGAACAGTTGGACACTTTGAGGCTTTAAACAAGGAAAGGCTTTTATTTAGCTTATTAAGGGTCAGGAAGAAGTGATTGTAGCTCAGACTTTGTCCTAAGGGAATTTAATAGGAAGATATTTTATTCTCTCTCTCTCTCTTTCTCTCTCTCTCTCTCTCTCTCTCTCTCTCTCTCTCTCTCTCTCTAGGTGGTAGGGAGGAGGAAAGTATTTAAATTTTAATTTTATAATCTGGGATCCGAATGCCCTAAACTTGTGTGAAAATTCTGCAAATAGTTACTTCCCCAGAAAGGAGTCTAGCTTTCATCAGATTGTCAGAGAGAACGAGGCTAAAACTATTGTTTGAGGCTAGAATGGGCCTCACTTGTGTAAGCCTTGGGTTCTACCCCCAGCGCCATAAAAACAACACAACTACAAACCCGCCATTTTAAAGGAAAATGAAGCAAATCTGACTGAGAACTCATTTCCCACTCTTTTGCTTCAAATACTGATTATACTAGAGGGCTCCCTTATCTCTAATTCCCTTCTGCGTGTACTATTTCCTACTGACAAGACTCCCCCGAATAGCTTCCTGGATCTAGTATTGGTAGCCCCTTGAGACTCCAACTTTACTTTTTCAGACCCCTTCCCACAGACTTCCCCAGGCTACCTTCACTTTCCCTTCTGTGCTTTCTCCTTTTGAGAGCTGCCCTGAGTCTCAGGGACTTTTGTTCATCAGGAAGCTCAGGAGTGGTTGTTTCAATTACGTTCTCATTAAAAGAAATCCGTGAGCTGACATAGGAGCTTAAAATTATGTCTATAAGAAGAAAAGGTAATCAGAATTCCAATCAATAATTTGCAAATTAACTTTCTTTTTTACATTTTAATTATTTTAATGTAAAAGACAGCAATGTTCCATATTTCACATAATTAAAAAAGGTTTGAAAACTAATAAGTATGTAATGAAAATAAATTTATTGAAGGATAGCAGTAACTAGAAAATTAATATCCCAAACTATTACTGATGCCTTTTGCATTAACAGCGACATTTACCGAGTAGGTGGAGAAAATACCAAACAAGAATACGGACATTTTTAAAAATACATTTAAAAATATACATTTTGTCCAGTCTTTAACTTTTTGCTAAATATTGTGCATTCCAGAAAGTTTATTCAAGATGGTTATAATTATTTTTAAGTAGAATCCTTCACTGATTTTAAAACAGTCCTCTGCCACAAAAATTACTCCATCTCTTTACAAAACTAAAATTAGCAATGACCCATTGAATCTCGAAATTAAAAAAAATTAACCTAAAAAAATTAGCAGAGAGTATGTAGTGACCAGTACAAGGAAATTAGCATAATCAAAGGGAGATATGTAATTATTTGACATAATCTTGTTTGATTAGATTGGTGCAACTTAGTGTCTGCAAACTGAACTGACTGCAGGGGCCGGGGCAGGTGACAAGAACCACAGTCCTGTTTTCAGATTCTCTGTTTCGCTCAACTTGAAAAGAGCAAAAGAACTCACACTAAAACCGGCAGATACACTCACTATATAGTGATTAGTTCTCTCTCTCTCTCTCTCTCTCTCTCTCTCTCTCTCTCTCTCTCCTCAGTGAAACAAGAGTGTGCACTTTCTGGAAGTTCTCATCATTGAGGACAGTACAGACAGGAGGGGCACCTCCGTTATCTCTCAGTTGTTCCAATAAATAAAAACACAGTGACCAATAAAGAGGGGGCACTGGTGCTGGGAAATGTACACTGGTGGAGCGATGGGTGTTGGAATACTGCATGATTGAAATCCAATCATGAGCAGCTTTGTAATGGTCCAACTCACAGTGATTCAGTAAAAAAGATTTAAAATAAAAAAAAGAAGAGAGGAGGCAGCACCAGAAGCCTTGGACATGGTCTCCACATGCTAGTACCCAAATGACCTAATTGGTTACTCAGAGGCACAAAAGAAGTAGCTCGTTTTTGACTTAACTTTTTAATTCTGGTCCAGATAAGAGCTTGTCTGGGGTCACAGTCCCCTGCCCTATGGGCAAGCAGTGGATCTCAGCAGGTCTGTACTTTGGACAGCAGACCTAACTCTGGCGCACTTGCCTTAGTGAGGTTCTAAATTTCCTTGAATTTCGGGTAATCTTTATCAGCCACCAGCTGCAGCAGAACAGCCTTGCTTACTGTGATGATCCCAGTTCGAGCAAAACGCTCAAGAGCAAACATCCAATCCCTCATGCTTCTCGAATAGGCGGCATCAACAACAGTGTGAACCTCGGTACCCCGGCCTTCAAGCTCAAGGGCCATTTGTTGGATGTGCACATGAGTTTCTACTCCAAATAACACTTTGGACTCCGGGAATTTCTGCTTCTCATGCTTCTGCTTCTGGCAGCACTGTTGGAAAATTTGGTCTTGGGAAGTACTAACTTTACACCTGTTAAATCAATTTCTTGAGCATTGTTTCCAAGACCTTTAGGGTACTGTTGTGTGACAGTAACTGGAAATCCTAAAATCCAGGTCCCTTGTAACAATCTTTTTTTTTTTTGCTTTTTGGGTCACACCCAGCGATGCTCAGGGGTTCCTCCTAGCTCTGCACTCAGGAGTCACTCCTGGTGGTGCTTGGGGGACTATATGGGATGCTGGGTATCGAACCCGGTTGGCTGCGTGCAAGGCAAATGCCCTACCAGCTGTGCTATCGCTCCAGCCCCCTTTGTAACAATCTTTGTCCCACACTAATATCTCCAAAATAATGGCCGGTTGAAACCTTTCCATATCACAGTAAAATAAAAACAACCCACAGTGCTGGAAGGTGTAAGATTTTGCAGTGCTTGCTCACCGCGAAGCCCTTGGGTAGGTCCATGTGCTGGCCTCACTCCTTGGTAAAGGAAGAGTTGGACTATGAATTTGCCATGCATGTCTATCTGATCAGCCCTAGAGGCTGAGGAATTTTGGGATGAGCAGCTTATAGTTGGCAGTGCTGAGATGGAGAAGCAGAAGAACACGAGTACTGCACACACAGTGTCCCCAAGCTCCTTCTAGGCCAAGGCACTCTTACTCCCCGTCATTGCCCCACTGCCGGCTCCCAGAGGTGCATGTGAACTTTCAGATGCCCCGATTTCTCAGGGGAATCTTGGAATTGGATCCAGAATGCTTTACATTTTGGAGAAACGGAATGAAAAATTCAAGAGTGCTGGTTTAGGTATTGCCCACAGCTGTTTGTAAAAAACGTTTTAATTTCTGCCCTGTGCCCTGGATTTGGTAGACTTAGAAGAATATTCCAGAATAGGAATTCAGTTTAATGAATATAGAAGAGAACATAGAGGAACCCTGAGCCATAGTGCAATGGATAAGGTATTTGCCTTGTGGCTGACCTGGGTTCAATTCTCAGCATCCCATCTGCTTCCCTGAGCCATGCCAGGAGTGATCCCTGAGTGCAGAACTAGTGATAAACTCTGAGAACTGTTGGATGTAGTCCCCAAACCCCAAACCAAAAAACAAAGAGTCACCACCACCACCACCAACAAAAAAATCTAAAACACATTCTACAGTTTTAAAGTCTAGCATTGTGCACACAAAGAAAATGCTACCACTATAACTGGAGTTGGAAGAAATCTTTCATTCATTTACAACCTTAACTGAATTCATTCATGACCCCTTGAGCATAATGTTTGTAATGCGAAGGGGGTTGGGGAGTGACCACTGTTTCTTTTCTGCAAAGCTCACAATCTTCTTGGGATATAGTTCAACAAATAACAGTTAAGCCTGCTAAGTAATAAGGATATCAAACAAGCATCAGAATAAGAACTCTGTCTAGCCAGGATTAGGGTGGAAGAAAAAACTTTACAGAGGTGACATTTGGGTTGCATCTTAAAGGCTTCATAGAAACTTGTCGTGTAACATTGGGGTCATGTAAATGGTGTGCTTGGGTTTTCATAATTTTAACGTTTACTATTTTCTTTCTTTTTTTCCCCTCCTTTTGTTCTTTGAGCCACATCTGGCCATGCTTGGGACTTACTCCTGATTCTGTGCTCAGGGATCATTCCTAAAGGTGCTTGGGGTACTCTATGGAATACTGGGACTCGAACGTGGGTGTTCTGCTTGCAAGGCAAGCACCCTACCCACTGTACTCCCTCTCCAGCACAAATATTTACATTTCCTTATTTTGTGTTTTCACGTAGAGCTCCAAACGAGAATGGAAGCCTCTGGAAGACCGCAGCTGCACAGACATACCATGGTTGCTGCTTTTTATACTTTTCTGCATTGGGATGGTAAGAAAACTCTTTTGTATGATCAGAACCTGAAGTCAGGATCCAAAGGACCCATAGGCAGTTGGTTTAGAAGAGGGTGGTGGGGAGCTTATTCTTTATTTTTAACCTTCCTCAATTGAGGAAAACTGCAAGATATATTGAAGCAGTTTTTTTTTTTTTACTTCCCTTACAATGTGGTGGTTTTAGTAACGTAACTCATTTTATTTTTTGTTGGTTTCTTTTTTTTTTTTGGTCTTCATTAAAAACCGAGGCCAAAATAAAGGGAACAGTCGAACTCCATCACTTTGACTAGAGTATTTTAGGAATTCAGATCACTGACAGAAATTTCCGTGAACTGTGATCTTGAAGGGGTGGTGATTAGAGCACTGGTTGTGGAATCCAGAGTCCTAATTAGAGGGACTGAAGAGATGGCACAATAGATTGGGGAGCATGTTTTATATATAGGATGCCCAGCTTTAATCTCAGGTACCAAATGGTCCACTAAGTACTACCAGGAGTGACTCCTGAGCACTGGACTGGGAGTAACCCTTGAGCACCATGAAATGTGACCTAAAAAAAGCAAAGAAATTAAATGGAGGAAAAAGTTTTTGAGCCAGTGATGCCAATCTGCTGGTGACCTTTGTAGAAGTCAGTTTTTCTCCTGGAGGTGGTGTTCTTTTGTCTAAAATTAGAGGTTAGCTAGATGCCCTGTATGATGCTTTCAGTCCTGCCTTATTTTTTTTTTAAGTTCTCTCATGGAGAGGCTTGCTCAATTGTAGTTGCTCACAGCTGCTGCTTCTGCTGCCTCACCAGATTCTGGGCTGCTCGCTGTGTCTGCTGGAGTGAGTCACTTGGCTCGGTTGGAGAGCAAGGGCACAGGGAAGTGGCTGGAGGAGAGTCCCCGGTCAGTGTTGGGAGTGGGCGCTGCCTCTTCACACCCCTTTCCTGCTTGGGTTCCAACCTGAGCTTTGGAGAGCCACTGGCAGTGTGCTGGGCTGACGAAACAGATGGAAAACTGTTTTTTGAGAATTGATGTTTAGCATTAGGAAGAACTTGGAAATCTTCATCCAGTTCAGATTCAGTGCCAGTGATCATCCCAAGGCTACACTGATGATACATGGTACAGGACTGGGAACCAAGTCGATCCCTGACTCTGGACATGAATGCTTGTCTCATGCTGCCCTGGTTCTTCCTCCAGGGCACTGTGTCAGCCACATTTTCTCTCTCTCTCTCTCTCTCTCTCTCTCTCTCTCTCTCTCTCTCCTCTCTCTCTCTCTCTCTCTCTCTCTCTCTCTCTCTCTCTCTCTCTCTCTCTCTCTCTCTCTCCCCTTAGTTACTGCAGCTCAAAGCTCAGCAGTGTCACTTCATGAATCCCCTTTGCCCCAGATCTCTTAAGGAGGGACACCTTAGAAAAATCTTACTCTGGGGTTTGTCTTCAGCTGTGTATGGCACTCATGCCTGTTGAGACTCACAGAACAACCTTCCCTACTTGTGGTTTATTGGTGTAATTTTAAGTACAAAGTCTATCCAGAACTAAGGAAGAGGAAGCAGTAAATGTTAATGAGATAATAAACCCAGTAAAATGTTAAGGAACTTAAAGTTAGTTTGAAGATAATAAAGGTCCTGGGAGGTCTCTAACAGGCTGCCCTGTGACTCAGCCCTAGAACCCATGCTTTGTTCGGATGAGGTCTGGGCCCTGATGGCTGGCATTGCAAAAAGGAAAATAAAGATAATAGACATCTTAGTTTCCACAGACCTGGCATAGTTAGAAAACGTCAAAATATCAAGTTCATAACTTAATAGTTCTAAGTTACTATTAGGAGTCTACATATTTTTATGGAATCGCCTTTTTTTTTGTGAGGCAAGATAATTTTTATTGAAACTTATTTAGAAAGAGGTTAGGGGAGGGATATGGAGGACTGTGTGTTCAAGGAAGAACACAGACTTCTCCAGAGTGGAAAATGGTAAGCAAAGATACATAGAGATAAGCAAGCGAGATATGTGTTCAAGGAAGAACATATACTTGAAGACCACACCCGGAACTGCTTTTTAAATGTGCACAAGGCATGCACAAAAAATTCTTTGTTGAAAGAACTAGTCCATAACCTCTCTCCACGTGGTGAATTTAACCCTGGGATAAATAATAACTGACTTTTCAAAATTGTGTTTATAAAAATATGTACCTGCTACCTGAGGTGCATTGACTTTCTGTGCTAAAATAGCTCAGGAAGTCACTGTCATGAATGTTAATAGACTGATTTGGGAGTGAGAAGAGTAAGGTGCTATTTGTTTACTGCAATGTCTCAATGCAATGGTAATTAATGTTGATTTCAGAGCGATGATAATTAAGACCCACTGTGTGTACTTTCAGATGCAGGCATGGTGTTATTTATTTTGGAATGATTCTTTTAGAGGATTGCCTTCATGGAGTTAACATTAAATTCTTACTCTTAGAAACTACAAAAATTTCAGTTTTGTTGCCCACCTTTGGGGCACCAAGGTAGATCAAAGAATTTTTTGTCTTCTGAATATGGTTTTGTATTTTTTTGAAAAATTCTTCGCCTTCCATTGGGATTCATTTTTCTATAATACTTTTAAGAGATAAAAAATATTTTTTGAGCACTACCCTTTACTCTGTGCTTTCATCTACATGTTTATCTTGTTAAATTTTTTTCAGTTACCCGAGGAGAGAGGTTTCATCTTCAGCTTGTAGACTAGGTGTATAAAAATGCTAAGTTTTTCTAAGACTACCACTGGTATTACAGAGACTACAGCTGGCAACGTTAAAAGAGAATTTAAACTCTCTGCTTATATTCTTTCTAACTGTTGGTTCATTGCCTGCTTCCTTTTTGCTCGTTTTATTATGTTTTGGGCGCTATACCCAGTGGTGCTTGGGGGTTGCTCCCACAGTGCTCAGGGGACCATGTGGTGATGGAGATCAAACCAGGACCTCTCACATGTAAAGGATTCACTTAACCTCTTGAGCTATCACAGCAGCCCCATCTGCTTCTGTTAGTCTTTTTTCCTTAGGCTTCTCGCAATTTCATATATGTTCAAATAATATCTTTATTTACTTTTCCCGTTTTCAGTTCTTTGTCCACTTCCTGATAACTATAGAAGATCTCGTCATACTGACTCACATTTACCATTACATCTTGTTGTTTTGTTTTGGGGCCTCACCTGGCAGGGGTCAGGGACTACTCAGTGTATTGCTGGCGGGTTGGTCCGTATGCTACTCAGAGCACCATGCAGTAACAGTCATTAAAGCTGGCCTCCTGCGCACAAAATGTGCACTCAGCCCCTTGAGGCATCTCACCATATCTAAATCTTCTTAAAGAATTTGTATATGTTCATCTTTTGATGAATATTTGCGGTTCTCTTGCAGTTCCTCCCTTAGCTTCAAGGTTTTCCCTGCACATAGGGTATTTTACGAAATAAATGGCTATCAGCTTTCTCAAAGTCACCATGTTTTCTCTACATGTAAACTTTGATCAGGATTTTGAAATTCGAGAGACTATATCTACCCTGCACTGAAAAGATACATATAGAACTGTACTTCTAAATCTCTGGTTTTCAGAGTCAGCAAGTAGTTCTCAGCCTATTTGCAAATGAAAACCAGCTGGCATCTCTTAAAAAAGTACTTGTTCCGTGGTCCTGCTCACAGTCTAATTTAATCATTGTGATTTTAATGTTCAACCCGGGTTGATTCCTACTGTTGTCCACACTCATAAACCACTGATAACTTTTAAGCAAGAAATGAAATAACTTGACTTAGAAAGAAGGTCCTGGTAGGTAATGTTAACTGTGGCTTATTAAGGCAGTGTACTGACTAAGAGATTTCCAGCACCCCAGTTTTGAGGTTCAAGAATGGGATGAATAAGCAAAGTGCTACTTCCTTAGTAGCAGAGCAGTCCCCTGATTATGACTAATACAGCACCCTTGGTAAATGTGACTTGTGGAATTTGGGGACATGTGGGCTAAGGGTCCTTCCAGTTGCATGTGGTCTGGCTGAATTCTGCTTCAGGGAGAGGGGCATGTGAGAAGGGGAAAGAGCAAGGAATCGAGGAGAAGCAGAATGAAGGAAGGAGAGAAGAGACCTCTCCACCTGCGACAGATCTATCCAGAAACCAGGGTGGTGGGGCCGGGCGGGGGGGCGGAGGACAAAGACAGGACAGACTCCCCACCAGGTCAGTACTCCTGTTGGAGCTGACCCTAACAGGGGTCGTTGCCAGGGAAAATAGAGACCTGAAGCTCAGTCCTGAGCATCGTTGTCACTTCCTGCAGACTCGGTCCCATTCCCTGTGCTTGACACAGAAACTCCTTTCTTTTTTCACAGCTGCTCAGTGAAGTAGATACTGTGGTGTTCATCATTCTCATTTTATAGAGAGGGACAGAAAAGTGCTGAGAGATGTGAAATAGCTTGTTTAGATGACGTAGGGCAGCACTGAACCCAGGAGAGAAGATGAGGCTTCAACAGGTCTTCTCCTGTTTATTGCCTGGAATTAGGACGACAGAAAAAGTTTTTTGTTTTTTTTTCGGGGAGGGGTGTTTGTGTTTGGTTCTTGGGCTACACTCAGCAGTGCTCAGGGCTTAGTCCTGGCTCACAGGATTATATATGGCGCTGGCGGGGATCAGAGAGGGGTTAACCACGTGTGAAGCAAGCACCCTACCCGCTATCCTAGCTCTTTCCCGTTGAACCTCTTAGCCCCCCTCCCTCCAGACCTTACATTAAAAGATTTCCGTAACCCTACCTGCCAGTTGAAAAAAAAAAGTGATCAAAACTTGATGCTCTGAGCAAATAGTTCCATGTTGCATGTGCTCGACTGCAGCTGGGAAGCTTCTGGATAAGCAGGAGCTTAGGGAGAAGATACAGAAGCCTGCTGGAACATGGTATCTCCTCTGAGCAGCCCAGCACACAGTGATCCTGCGGTGGAGATAGCATGTGTGCAGGAAGAGAAACGGCTTGGAAAAATGTGGAACGGGGACATGTAGAATGGGTAGGTGAGGATAAGAAGCTAGGA